GGAAGGGCGCGACCCTCGAGGAGGTGAGGGAAGCTTTGCCGCCTGCCGCCCACGCGTTACCTGAGCGTGTCAGATGCTAACACCTTCAGCTCGGAGATGATATCATGAATGACTGGTTCACTTGGCTCGCGATGGATATCTTGTAGCCACTGTTGTCTAAGTACAGTATCATGACAGCCGTCTGTATCATGACTGCCGAATATTGGTGGTTGATGGAGAAGTCTAACCAGAAAATGAGTAGATAACCGGACTGCCATGTCTGCTACAACAGGAGCGTTCCTGAGTGTTGTCTCTCAAGCACAGTTAAAAAGGAAATCATTTCGCCAGATGAATTTCCGTCTTTGAAATGCAAGACTCCTGGTGGAACAGTTTGTCTCCAAATTCTAGAATGTTCTTTTACCTCGGCGCACCGCTGAATGGAGGCATTATTTCACCTCCCTAGCGGATCGCCGCTGGAAACCAATCGGTATCAGCATTTAAAGGTACAATTTCGGGAGGTAATTTCGAATCTTAACAAAATCCAATTAAATGCATGGACATTTCAATTAAACGTCCCCCTGGCTGGTCGCCTAGGTGTCACACCGTAAGTGAAATTCAAATCAGATTACGATGAGAACCTAAGGAAGTATTTTTGGCACAATAAGGATCACACATTCTAGATAGAGACCCCTGTCATGCACACTGCGAGGGGGGGGGGGGGAGAATAGCCTTTCTTTGCCAACATTAGTCATTTAATTCTCCCTCCTTATTAATTTCACAGCAGATTACCTGAGAAGATACAGAATGCTGTCAGCAAAGAGTTTTAATTAAGTACGGGTTATGCTGCCACGAGTGCCTTATGTGAAACTGCTGCCTTATAATGCTCTTGTTTTAATTACTGCAGAGTGCCCCCTCATTAACCTCCGTGGAGATGCGCTACAAACTACAGTGCGCATTACAAACACCAGATTTGGAAATTGCTTATATCCGCGGGCAGAGCTTCACATTCGTCGTGTGTAGGGAAAAACAAGCTTTCCTCCCTTTTGTTGTTTAGTGCAGCGTACTCATTTTCATTTAGCATTCCTAAATAAAAAGAGGAGGCTCTGCAGATCTGAATATTGCATTTTGAACTTGTTAATTGTGAGATAACCTTGGCGGTTATGGGCACCGCGACGACCCCTGCTGGGAGCTGTGGTTTCAACACGACAGGCTCTTGTTTGTTGCCTTATTTGTAAAAACTTTAACGGCCTCACAGATTTAAATACAATCTTTCTATATTTTAATGCAATGGTGGGTCTATAATATATTTAATTAATTTAAATAATTTAATATAATGATTAATATATATTGTTTTAGGATTACAGATTCTCAAGGCTCATACAAAAAAAAAAATTCAAAACTATTCATGTTAGACACTGAGCGCCTGTGAGTCAACCACAGATTGGTTTTGTTTCATCGTTTCGTTGCTCCGTGGTTCATCTACGTCAAGCAGCTGTGGGTGGTCTCGCTGGCTGAAAAAAAAAAAAATCAGCAGCCCCCTGGACATTTCCCTTTTGATCCTTTTCATCCTGAAGTTTCTCAATGGCCCAATATAGATTTCAAAAAATGCTCAGAGAGTGGGCTCCTATTCACAATATGCGGATGGATAACCAAGCCACTGTCCACCCCAACACCTTAATGTGGTTTAACAGGATGTATTAGCTTTTAATGGCACTTAATTGTACAAAAAGAAAATCCATAACCACATAAGGAGAAAAGTCAAGTATTTCCAAGCTCTTTATAAGAACAATTTAGAGCAGACAAGTGCTTTTCAAACCTTGGATTGGAATCAGTCCGACAGCCTGGCCGTAGGAAGCCGGCTGTACATTTGTAAGGCTACAGTGCCACCATTTGGTCACCGTGAGGCTTTCATTTCCCGGCCAGGCTCTGGCAATTGGCACTCCAACGCCGGTATGAAGAAATAATAAATCAACGGGGTTTATAATCTGAAAATCCCATTTTCAAAATAAACAATTTGTATTGTCGCATTTGTCCCCGTAATTGTCTAATTTGCCCCTGAACTGATTTTCCAGCAGGAGTGCAGGGCTTCGCAGCACTATGAAGTTAAATTGTCTCCATCTACTGTGTGTCATTTCAGAAATGAGCTGGACCTAAAAAAATAAAAAAAACAGGAATAAATATCGTCCAGGTGCAGGATAAGGGAAGGAAGAAAACATTCCGTCTCGTTGTTATTGTTGATAGATTATCCCAGGTCCATGGCATCTTAGATAATGAGCAATAACCCACTCCTCAAGAACAGGGGAGGTTTGCCAAGAAGGAACGGTGATTACAATCAATTAGGACATGGTGACAAAGCACCAACAATAACACTCTGTGTGTGGGTGTGGGTGGTTGTGTGTGGGTGTGTGGCCGCTCGTGTTTTATTCACGCATCCTTCCAAACTACCCCGTTTTGTGTAATCAACATCTGTTGTGACAGGCAACCTCCTCCTTCCTCAGAATGGCCCACTTCAGATAATGAGTGTCATACCAAACTGCAGGGCAAAGGCTGATTTCGCTCCTCTTTTTCCTCCTCCTCTTTGGCCTCCGCTCTCAGTACCCTCTGTTCCCTCTCCTGCCGATCGAGACATTCCTCGTGCAGAACCTTGAACAAGAGAGACAAACACTCTTGCATTATTGTCGGGGCTCAATACGCGCCGGCGGTGGATGAAATAAAAAAAAATAGTCTTGCGTTCTTTCTGGGGAGTTTAAGATTTCACAGTCGACTGCTTAACACCGTCATTCTCGTCGATGCTTTTATTTAGATTTCATTGTGAATTTATTTTAACAAAACTTACTCAGTTGTCTCAGACGTCTGTCACATTTGCTTTAATGATAGTTCCTCCCCTTCTTGCTTTACAAATTATTTGTACTACTGTATTTGTAGGATATACATGTGCTTTTTATAAACAAACTTAATGTGTTGCTTTGTTTGCCTGTGGCCCCCGGTGGTTTAGGCGCCATCTCCTGGTAAATTCTGGTAAATTTGCTCCTCCGAAATCTCTTGACTTTCACTTGAGATTTTGTGAGTTCAATGAATAGAAAATAAATCCTCTTAGACTTTAAATTGTAATACTTGAAAAAGGTCTGGAAAAATTGACGATTTGATATGTGAGAAGAATGATTTAGTTCTATATATTTATTTTTTTATAAGTAGAATTTAAGTCTGAAAAGATTTCTTAGTCACAAAGTTGAACTCTACAGTAAGCTGTCTTCAATGTGATGTGTCTAAAATGTGTGAATAAAATAATTCTCCCAGCTCTGTCTCAAAATGAATTGCCTCCAAAATAAGAGAGAAAGATGCAGACAAGCGAGAGTGCGAGATTGCACGGAATGCAGTTTGTATTGGGGTTGATTAACGGATGCAGCCAATTTCTTCAAACTTCAGATTTATCTCCGAACGTACGACACTTGGGGTTTATTTTTCAATTCAAGATGGAATTTGCTGTCTGCACAACCAAGTTGAACTAATTATTTTTGGAAAATCCATGTATCATAACCCTAAGTTTCCTTAGGGTTTGTATGCTACAAAAAAGGGTCCTTTATATTTATATTAATTCATCAAAACCTTCAGTTTAAAAGTGTCAACTGGCAGCGGCTTGAGTGAGCAGTGAAGCAGTTTTACCTTTTTTCTCTGCGTGTCACTGTAGAAGAGTGTGAATATCAAAAAATACAAGTGTCTTTGATGCGTTTCTTGGTTCCCTCTTAGCTGTATTGCAAAAAATGGTGGATCCATTATGGATATCAGTACCGGGACGCGCAGTATGTTTCACACAGGCTTTGACTACAACGTGACCGGGGCTCTGAGCTGGAGTTTACATACGGTACGATTCGTCAGCCATGTATGTGCATTCATACAGTGTGAGAACCTTCATGGACAAACTGACCATTTTACACTCTTACTACGGAACATTGTTTAAGATAGAACACCAAAACCTAACCTTTTTATTCTCTCTTTTTTTACCAGCAAACACATTTGCCTTACTTCTACTTCTCATTGCAGGAAACACACATGTGCATCGATAACATTAACGGTTATTCTGTTCCATTTAGAGCCGACATGCACACTACCGAAGGCCTGGAACTAAAGCACTCAAATGGAGTGTAGTCAATGTTAATGTTATTGATTACCTCTGTGCTTATTACAAAGGGCAAGTCACAATGTCTGCAGTAAAAATTGTCTCGTCTACACGTGACATTGTATTTGTACGGTAATCGTAACATATTAATGACACACATTGAAGCCACTGCATTGTGGGTATTCAGTTCTTCTCAGTATCAGACAAGCTGCACATAGTGGAATATTTCCTGTAAAACGTGACGTTATGTAATTACTGCTAATTACGCGAATGCACGAGTATTTACCATGTTTTCTACTATAATATCCAACGATCTTTTGGGGTTTTGACCATTGTAAACATTAGAATAACAAAGGGGATACAAAAAATATCAAAAAAACGTTATAGGCCTATATGAAATAATTTGCGGATGATCCATAATGCAAATCATTATTGGTTTGCGGAGTAATCCGAAACATACATGAAATAGGTTGGTTGATTAAATTAAATCAAATCCTAAAAGCTCAGCTGCCATATCTTCATTCCTTGATGTGCCCGGTTAACCGTGATCAACTACTCTAAACTGCAGAGGGCGCTTGGGAGCTTTTAAACAACCAACCTCCTTATCACAAGTAGCACCAGACGTCTGTGGTGGAATAAAGTGCAAACGATTGTTTCAGACTGATGATGGGTGCCAGTCTTGAACCTAAAACCCCGCGAGGCAATGCGCGTGCAGGCGTGCGGCTCCCCAGAGGCCACGTGGCCAGTGGAGAGACTCGAACGCGACGAAAGCCCCCCATGCTAATAACAGCTGGGAGGTAAAACACAAATAGGTTAAACATATTGAAAATGTCCATACGCATTAAAAACAAACCCCATCGGTAGAGGAAGGTGAAGCGGTTAGTGAGGCGTGTTCGTCACCTAATCTGACCGCTCCTCCCTTGTCAGGCGGCACTTCCGTGTTTACACACCCACCAACAAAAAAAAAACAAGACTCTAGCGGCCGTTGGCCGAATGTTTACCGAGCAGTGAGCGGTGGGGAGGAAAGTGACAGTCGCACACTGGAGGCTTCGTGTATGGTGAAACACAGGTGATTTCGGCTTCCACGGTTGCGTATTACAGCGGTATGTTCACTCGAAGGGGGCATGGAGACGTCAAGAAATCTACACAGAAAGTTCTGGACCCAAAGAAGGATGTACTGACCCGGCTCAAGCACCTCCGGTCGCTGTTAGGTGAGTGAAATTGTCACCGGGCTTTTGATGCTGCACCGCCGACGCTTAGCTAGTCGAGCTAGCTGGCTAGGCTAATAGCTGGCACCCACCGACGGTCAAACGCGGCGTCGGGTTAGCTGGCTCGGCTGTCACCGCGGTGACGAATGCAAGCCGGCTGACGGGTAATACAAACGCACACTTAAGAAAAGCCATTCGAAACGGGGAGGGCCTGCCACTCACCACAAGTTTTCATTGATTCGCGTGTGTCCCGATATCAGGTGAGAGGCACCGAGGCAAGGCATGGATGCTAGCGAACGTGAGCTAGCTCCCCTTGTGGCTAACTAGCTAGCCAGTGCTAACTGATGATGCTGCCTTGTCAGGGCATCGGTGGTTGCAGAAGCAGATGCCCACCACAGCCTTTGTTGTCATGCAGCCCTGTGTCATCCCGGCTCATGATTGTAACTCTGGCTCGACACCTGACCAACATAGGTCACCTTTTTGTATATCTTTTATATGTATAATATAGCTTTCCTCGAGATCTGTATCTGGTTGAGCTGCTATCAAGTTACTCTATCCTGTGAATATAAAGACATTTGAAGAAGGGAAGTTACACGTTTGGTGATGTCATTTTTGTTTCTTTCATTGAACAGGGAAGTTCCTTATCTATGACAATCATAAAGCTGTCGTGTGGCTGTTATAACCCTGTCTGGGTTTATCGTGTTCGAAAGAGACATTACATTACCTGTGCTGCACACGAGTTTTGTATTTCACTTAATGGAACCTCTTTCAAATCCACTTTCACGGTTTCATTTATTGATCAATCTAAAAGAGTCGTTTAGTGGATTTCTTTGCCCGGATGAATGTCAAATCCACTTAAACAAATTTAAGGCAAAGGCCACAGTGACAGGCAAGTTCAATAGTTTATGTACATTCTGCTACGCTGATCTGAATCATGTCTCAAGATCAACTTCATATTAAACTTCAGTTGCATCTTAGGTATGCAGGTATACCTTATTCTTTACTCTCCTCCGTAGTGGACTCATTGTGTAACAACCAAGAGGACCTTAATAGTCCCCGGGCCTGTAGGATATATGTACCCATTAACTTCTGTTATTCATAGTCTCGCAAACAAAAAGGGGTCAATAGGTACTTTGGGTGAGTGTGCAGCGGAGGAAAGTTGGAGGAGGGAATCGTGATGAGTGGAGGAAAACTGCAACGGATTCATTAGTGCGACACGCTGTACGATGTACTTTCTCTCCAGAATTTCCCCTGTACACAAGAGATTGCGTCTAAAGATTGTGATGCAGTTTAACATGTAGTCTCATCGACTCAAAGTTAAACTCCATGTTGAACGTTATGGGTTTTTTACTGGCTGAGGCTGATATCTGGTGTGTAAGATAAAATGTTGTTTTTTTTAAAACTTCATTTTAATATTTGAAAAAAGGGTTCTCCATTACCTTTCACATGCTGTGATATTCTCTAAACATATTTAAAATAAATAAAGGAATTGGAACTGTTAACGGGAGGTATTGGCTGACCTCAGAGACTTTTTTCTTTTTTTGGAGACGCGGGATCTTTTAGAAGTTTTAGGGTTTGAACTATTTGTTGACTGATGCGTGCTCGGGTCAATCGCCCATGGATCAATCATAGTGGCCTGTTGGCTGTTTTTATTGATTGCTGGCACAGTGGCACAGCTGTGAGAGGCCAGTATCTGCTCAACAAGTTCCAGTAGCCTAGATCCTCCTGCTGTCAGAACACCTTCAATGTCAAGAGTAGCACCACCAAAGTGGAGGTCAGTCCCGAGCTCTGCACGCTCTCTTGTTTTCTCTCCCCCATGTGCAGCTAAAGATAAGGCTCGTCTGTTTGTGCAGCAGCTGATAGAAGGGCCCACGCTAACCTCGCTGATTTCACCGTGCTTTCAGCTAAGGAAGGACTTCCTCCTGGTGCTGCTGCTTCCTGTATGGACAGGAAGCAGTGATGAGAGACGGGGTGCCGCGGAGGTCGGGACGGGGACTCTGGGGAAGATAGCTGGCCTCGTTTAGTTGCTGACAGTCGCATTGTTTTTTGTGGGTTTTTTTTTTTTTTCAATTCTACCAGCCAATAGATTTCCAAAAAAGTATGATTGTCAGACTTGAGTTCCCCATATCCCCACTACTCTGTGCTCAGGACTATTTCCAGTCCTCTTCTCACTGTCTGAGCAGATCGCTGGGATCGAGTGCGAAAGCTGCTGCGTGTTAATTTGCCGGTCATGCCTGGCTACATTTGGCTGAGGTTGTTAATGGCAGGAGACGGTATGTTCAAAACGCTGAAACGTTCAGAACGCTGGCAATAATGCCGAAAGTCTCTCACTAATTCTACTGCACACACTTAATGCGTGTTTGTCTGGTGGAATACTCACTCATTCCTGGAGGAGAGGTCAAAGGCCAGTGTGGCTGCAGTAACGCAAGGAGATCTTTTAATAGATAATCGTCAGTAATTGGAATATAATGACAAATTGGGGGAATGCAAATAATGGAGCAGTCTGTATAAAGCACTTGTATGACTCGCCCTATTTGAGAACGGGGTCATATGGTTATTGGGCAAATAACTACATTATCTAATCGACTGAGGAGCGCTACGTCTCAAGGCGCTTTCGTTTGTTACCAATTGCTCTCTTCCACTGCAATAAACAAGCTGGGCTTGGACCTGTTGGTGAACGGCATGGGAACAACAGTGAATGTGTGCAGTTGTTGTTAGTGTCAACAGTCAGGTATGTTTGTCTGTGAGTGTAGATGTGTTGAGTTTGTGGCTAATGCTTTTTTTTTTTTGAAAGGCAGATCTGCACTTGTCTTTAGAATTAATGATATAAAGTGTCATTACACCTTACTTTTCTCCTTGTGGGTGCTCCAAGTGTTGCCGAGTGAAGGGTCACCAGAAAGCGCTGCGGGTACGAGAGGAAATCGCAAGGTGAAGCACCGGAGGAAACAATGTGAAACACTGGAAGGGCCCTCAACAAGGCCCTCATCCCAGCTGAAGTAAAGGCTGAGATCTCTCGACTTCTGATTCTCCCCTTTTGTGAAACACTCGGGTTAGACGTGTGAATAACGTCAGCCTTTTATCGTCTTCTAATCTGTTATTCCGCGCCATGTGGGCATGATGTGGACACTTGAGGGCTTTTCACAAAGTGTTTAAACTTGCAGAGCAATCGATCACAAACGGGTTTTGGTAACTTTTTAAGCTCTGAAGGCTTTTTTCTCTTGTTTCCTTCAGGCTATCGTGCACTGAAGTTGAAGCTGTGGACGACACTGACAGGCACAGATAAACTCTTTTGTTCCAAATTAAAAAATAAATCTGTATAAAATTGTTTCTATCACACTGCTGTCCATCAGATAAGATCAACCTACGGTTTACCTGAAGCAGTATGACACCTCCTTTCACAAGTAGCGGGCAAAAAACAAAAGCATGTAGGCCTTTTGGAAAGGCAGGAGTGCATTCTGTTGAGGTGAGGCAGTACTGGAAAGGTCATTAACAGGTCTTTGGGGGATGTTGCCTGTTGGGTGACGGCGGCTGTCACTGTGGTCTTGGCATTTAGCGTCTCAGTGTGAGGTCTGCAGAGTTGCCTGAGAATCAGCTGGAAACCATTGCATTACATTACATGTCATTTAGCTGACGCTTTTATCCAAAGTGACTTACAATAAGTGCATTCAACCATAAGGATACAAACTCAAATGAACAAGAAAGTGCAATTTCATCAAATAAGCCGATCTACAACTTGCTATAGATAGACAATTTTAAGTGCTACAATTTGTTTAATGTGTTTAGTCAAGATATAGTCTGCAGAGGTCTGTCTCTAGTTAAAATAATGTAGTCATCTGAATTTGCATTTTTATAGGTTGAATGAAACCTACATTTCAATTGTAAATTGGCTTATTTGAGGAAATTTCACTTTCTTGTTTCTTGCTTGAGTTTGTATCCCTACGGTTGAATGCACTTATTGTAAGTCGCTTTGGACAAAAGCGTCAGCTAAATGATATGTAATGTAAATAAATTATTTTAACTCAATTCAAATGACTTTATTGGGCTAAATGTTGCATTGAAATATCTCTGACCAAATTCACAATTTATAAACTGGTAATATCTGACTGCCAATATCAGGCAGATTTGATTTGAAAATCAATGACAAAACTGCCTTGTAATAAAAAACCCGGACACACATCACATTGAAACCTGCTGCTGAAAAGAGCCCCAGTTCCGTCCTGTGTCCCTCCCACAGGAGACGTAAAGTTGGGTTTACTCATTTCAGGCAGGGCAGAAACAAGCAGATCAGGAATATCAAGTGACAAAAGGCACGAGACAATCCGGCAGAGCTCAAGTGTTGGTGAGCGGACCTAAATAGGGAGGGGAAGGCCGGGTGAGGGGGCGAGTGGGGGGGATCTGAAGGGACGTGAGAGTTAGTAAACGGGATGAAAAGAACCTCGGACGCGGCGACAAATTTGTACAGTAAAATGTAAACAAAGATTACATTTCTTAAAATGTTGGCGGCATTCACCAAAAAGTAGTAAGAGGTCATTCTCCCTGAAGTGACCTTCAACGTATCGTTCTCTCAGAAGGGTTTTGAAAATGTCCACAACGTTTCCGTCCCAGGATCAGCTGATTTAGCTATTTGTCTCATTTCCGACCCCTTTTCACATCATTCCTTCTCTCAAAGGATATCTGTTTATCAGCTCTTAATGGTATATAAGCTTCGCATTGTTATAAAACCAGCCTTTTTATAGTAACAACTCATCAGTCTCCACCAAAGACCAGATCCTGTAATGGTCTGGAGTACGGGTATTTTTTCCCAGGCTACATGTCGTAACCCATGACTTTTAAAAGTATTTTGTTAACCTCCAGGAAGTTTTTTTACATGTCGGCTCTGAGTGCTTTCTGTTTTCAGCCCGTGGTCACTGTTATGTGTCTCAGGGCTTTTCAGATGTGATGTAAATCACATGCTGGTTGTGAATGAAAGGCTTCTTTTTTCCAGCCGAGGCGCTCGGTGTAGA